GCTGTAAAGAAAAATGGCTTCTTTCATGCAATGTCATAGCAATGAGAGGCGGAGAAACAAACTAGCGCGGCGCGACTCAACTTCTTGCGATCGGGCGATATTAGGCGGTACGCCGCGAACAGCGGCGAGCGAGGGGTACCCCTAGAGTCCGATCATTGCCCCCCGCGCGCTCATTGGCTCACATTTATTAATTCATATTTTAATAACTATTGCACATTTTGCAAAATGGTAAATAACTTTTCTGTTCGGATTGACCCGATCTACCTACACACTTCGGCTGATTCGTTCGTTATGAGACACCCTGTATATATATGTATACATATATTTTTTATACATATAGTGACTTCAATTTCGAAAAACAAACAATGTCTTTTAATTCGCAGATGTTCAATGTTCTGCATTGAACATTGCTGATCCGCTTTTGATCAGCCGCATAGAGGGCAATCGAATGGGACATAGCGCTGTTTTTATGTGTCCAGAAGGATACAAATTGGAGGGTGCGTTTGGTATTACGTGCCAGTACAATGGTAGGAGATCAAAATTTTATTTTCGACGAATGAACTATCAGATACAAATAACTACCAAATATGTGTATCTTGCAGGAAAATGGTCGGCGCGTGTGCCACGTTGCGAAAAGATCAAGTGTCCGGAATTGGATCCTCCGGATAATGCACTGATCGAATATGATAACAATAAAACTTACGGCGGACAAGCCATCTTCTCGTGCATGTGGGGACATAAGCTTTCGGGGTCGTACAGCATGAAATGCGACGGAAACGGCAGATGGAATGGATCTATGCCAACTTGTCTAGGTAATAGTAAAAGAAAGAAAGAGAGAGAGAGAGAGAGAGAGAGAGAGAGAGAGGGAGAGGGAGAGGGAGAGAGAGAGAGAGAGGAAGAGGGAGAAGGAGAGGGAGAGAGGGAGAAAGAGAGGGAGAGGGAGAAGGAGAAGGAGAGGGAGAGAGACATGATCATTTAGTAACAATCGATTTCAATAAAAACTTACTACTGTACATATTTCATCGATATATTTGCAGAGATCACTTGTCCTGTACCAGAAACACCACGAAGTGGGCGTATCGTTGAACAAACGAGATATTCCAAAAAGCATTATAGCGGCCGAATGTACAAAGTTGGTGCGCTCGTAAGATTCTCTTGTCTGCCAGGTCATCAGTTGATAGGAGAGGCCACCATTATCTGCACTGAGGATGGTATTTGGTCTCACCGTCCACCTTTATGTAAATATCTTTGAAACTCAATTTCAATTTTTATTTATTGTTTACTGCTAGTAACCTTTTGAGTATACACACAAAAACTGATAACTTTGAAATAATAAACTAATGCACGTTTTAGGCAAGGTGAGATGTCCCTATCCGGGCGATCCTCCACATGGCCGAATTGCACCACTCAAGTTTTGGTATAAACCAGGAGACAATATACAGGTGAACTCAACATTTAGTGCGCTGTCATAAGTAAAATTAAGCTGTGTAAAAAATAATTTTATATGAATTTTATAAAATGCTTTTACGTAATTTTGAGATTCATTGAACAGGTAACGTGTTCGCCTGGCTACGTGACACCTTTAGAACCGATAAAGAAGCCATCGTGCAGAGAAAATGGTATTTGGAGTGCGCCACCACCTCCTTGTCGGTCTTACAAGGAAGTGTGAATGTGAAAGCAGCTTATCGAGAAGTTACACCGAAGACATGTTTTGTCATCGTGTCATTTTATTATATAACGGAGACACTCAATATTTATTACGGGTAGCGGACATGCATGAATAAGATCTATAAGAACGAGAACACTCGCATGAACTACCAATCGCTTGTTCCAAACGATAGACATGCATATGAAAAGTTATAATGATCTTATCAAATGATGAGTATAGTTACAGTCGCGATTTATCGAACCAACGAATAATCACAAATAGATAGGTCATAGAAAACGTTTTATGTTAAACATAAACTACGGAACATCATATGTTTTGTTTATATTAATTCTCTTTTTCCAGATATACAACGATTTTAATAAAAATAAATCCTTTTTGATATAAAAACACTCTCTTAATAAATATTTTTTCACAAGCATTTACTATTTATTTAACATCAGAATGAAATACTCGTGTTCCTTTCATAAATAAAAGCAAAAACTACAAGTATGAATATAAAAACTTTTTTGCCTAGTCAAATAAAACAGAAATATTCAAACAGCTATAACATAGTTACTATGTCTATATAATAAATGGTTTGAAATGAAGAGCAATGATTTAATTTACTTGTTACCATAATGATGTTTCTCGTTGCCATAATAACGTTTTCAAATGAAAAACAATAATTTAATCGAATAAATAACATTTTTCTCATGTTCAATATAATGTAACATTTTATATTCAATGCTGCTAATTTATCAAAGATTAAAGAGCGCCATGGAAAGAAGTCGGATAAAAGCTCTCAAAGAGATACAAGTGGAAACGCTACTTATCAGGAATAAAATAAATTGGTATCGCGGAATTCTGAAATTGCATGGTTAGACATGAAATTGAGACTTCCTAAATGTGTTACATGTGGTTTATTTCTCTAATTAAAAATTAGTTTATTTTACAATAAAATTATTCTTAGCATCATATTTTATATATCATTAAGATAGATTTATTTTAAATATCGATATTGTTTTAAAAATTAGATAAATACGATGTATTAATGTTTTATAATATATATATAATTCTTTTTAGAAATGGCTAGAAAATAAAATCTTTAATCTCTTTCAATGTAGCGCATGATAAGAAGCTGCAGTTGTCGCAAGCTACAAAATTAAAGTCATTAATATCAAAGAAAGTCACGTCTCTAGAAGTGGATGTTAAAAAATATCGCGAAGTCATCGATGATTTGAAAAATGAAAATAAACGAGACATACTTAGAGCGTTGAGCGATTATAGAGAATTTTATTTGGCTTTTAGTTACCTGAAACCATCCGTAAGAAGATGTGCTAACTATAATAATATTCTATCTTTCACACAAATCATGACTTTTTAACACGTTTTTGAAGGCATTATAATAAAAATATCTTGTTTTGCAGGAAATTTGCGCAACGGTGTATGAAAACTGCGATATAAAACGTCGATTGTTGGATAAATTATATTGCGAGAAAAAGAGAAAATTGAAACAAGGTATTGATTTACAGGTAGAAATTGATCTTCATATATTGTATTAAATTTTATATATATATGTATATCTATGTATAATATATAAAATATTTAAGTCATAATATACTTTGTAATACACACACACACACACACACACACGCGCGCGCGCGCATATATGTTAAATGTAAATAAATAAAAGTAAAGATTTACTCATACAAATGAATAATAAAGATAGAACACGTCGTTCTTTCGAGAGAGTTTGAGAAACAAAGCGAAGAGCAATTATATTGCGAGCAGCAACGTTTAGTAGCACGATTGCAACAATCCATCACAAAACATAACTCGGCAAAAACAATACATTCCACGTATCTTTCGATGTTGAATATCTTAAAGAAGGTAAACAACTTTCCGATTGCTGTTGTTACTAAAGTACCATATATCTAAGTGAAATCTAATAATTTACATCTTACAAAAGTAGCTAGCTGATTCTGATAAAAATGTATTAATTTTATATTATCTTAAAATCTTCATATAGGATGCGTTATTTTTTGGCAACTTAGCGGACATTATAAAAGAAGACCAAACTGCGCAATGCAAACAAATGTTGAAAGTGACAGTTATGGGTCAATTGGCGGCAGAGGATCTAGACAATATAAAACAAAAATACAAACGAATGACACAAGTGGTTTTGCGTAACATGAAAATCAGAGAACAAATGTTGAGTGCCGTACGCTGTGAAGTGGAAGATTTATGGGCTTACGCGCAATCATTGGTGCGCAACGAAGTGAGTGATTATAAATAAAAACATTGTAAAAAACCTGAGATTGTGCAATAAAGATCTCTAATAGACAAATTGTGAAAATATTGTACAAAAATGGCATCATAAATTGAAAAAAATTTCGCAATGATTGCAATAAGATGATTCGCCATAACGCAACAGTTTTGTCAGAATAAAATTTTGTAAATAATATTTGTCAAAAATTAGAAAAGTTCAATTTAAAGTATAAATATTTTATAATATTTCAATTTTGATGCATAAAATTATACAAACCAATATTTGTAACAATGTAATGCAGCAAAATCATTTTGCACTATTTGCAACATTTTCAGATAAAATATTTATATTCTAATTAATAAATCAATTTAATTTTTGTTAATTAGAAATAGTGATGGAGAATCTCACTTTTCACAATATTTGGAACTTTGGTTAAGATGTGATCAGAAAATGTTAACTACTTATTTTAAAATACTCGACAAACATTATCGAAAGCTTCAGTTTACATGCATCTCATAAAAATTATTTTTTTATTTAATTTTTTTGCTGCATTAATGTGCAATATTTTTACGATATAATTTAGAAGTCATTATGGTTTTCTATAGCATATGAATGCTTATAGTACATGAATTAATTTGATTTCTTCATGTGCTTCAATTATATTTCTACCCGTTTTAAACATCACACAGCTGAAATTTTTTTTTCAATTATTGAACAATTCTTTTCTAAATTTAATTTTGCAAATATACAGCTAAGATGATTCGCCATATCGTTAGTTTTGCCAAAATAGTACTTGAAAATTATTATTGCGAACAGTTACGAATATTTTAATAAAAAATCACTATTTTTACATCAATTTCTCAAAATATATCTATATAATTACAAATCACAATTTTCATGCAAGATTGTGTCAAACAATTTCAAAGATATTTTCCTATCGGGAGAGTATCATCCACTTAGTAATTACTTTTCAATATTGTGAGAAAATGCTTAATCAATCCGTAATAAAATCTTTTTCAGAGCAATCATGTTTTAAAAAAAAAAGATCACAACGAAGCGTGGTCTGCCGACAAGATACTGGAAAATCAACTAGCAGGTCTGAAAAAAGTTTGCAACAAAGTAAAAGAAATTCTTCTTGTGCGTCCCTATCATGATTTGTTTTCCAGGTATTTCACTCTAATTTATGTACGCAATTCGCAATCTTATTCACATAAATACTAAAAACTGTAAAAACAAATACTAAATACTAAAACCTGTAAAAAATATGTGTAGTTAATCCTAATTGTAAGTTATATCCAGTATGAGATGTCTTTTGTAATTATAGATTTGAAACTCAATCTGCGCACAAAACAGCTTTATTGGCACGATTAGACACTAATTTAAAGAATCGCGACCTGCTGTTCAGTAAAAAGAATCATGCTCTACAAGTTTTGGAGAGTCTTATCTATTCCATAAAAATCGCAGAACAGTAATTGTTACACAAAATAAAATATTAACGAGCGATGAAGTACTAATAAGCAGAAATATTTTATTTCTGACAAAGATATAACACACACTTGTGCTTTAGTCATTTTTTTTATTTTATTAACTTGTATATTTATATTTTTATTAATTTTTACTATTTTGTTATATACGTATATGTAGTATATATAGTATATATAAATAGTATATATAAATAAACATATAGTATATATAAATATATACATATATATACATATATTATATATAATTTTTTGTGTTATTATTAGATATAAAGCAAATGAGCGTGACATACTGGAACAACTGAAGATTGAGAAGAAAAAAGAGATTGATCTGAATGAGCAAAAAAAAGCTCTTGGCAAATGGTTCACAGGCATCAGAGCAGCCTTACTGAGCATGAGCACGATGTTGCTCTGCCTCAAACACGGCACAGCTGCGACAAAAAAGCCAGTTAAAGATGCCAATAAGAATATGTTAAAGGAAGTACAACTAAGTACAACGGCCGATGATAAAGATACGAAAGAAAACGACGTATTGTCAGAGATCGGGGAAGAGAGCGATGGTTAAATAAAATTTAAATTACAATATTAATAGAATGAAAATTGCACACATAAATAAGTTATTTATCAAAATACAATATATAGATATTAATTGACGTGATGATAATTGATTTTGCAGTTTTGCTGCTGTTGTCGAAAATCAGTCGGAAAATAGGTATCCTCTTCAACATGAGTAATTTTGAATTGGAGCAGGAGAAGGAAAACAAAGCGCGAAATTTTTATCAAACTTATATGTCGCATTATACCTCCAAATTGATATTCGGAACTGATGAAGAGAAACTGATAGGTAAAACAATGAGGCACATTTGTATATGTCGCAGGGAGATGATAAAAATAGGGATTTGATCAAATCCCTAAGGTATATGATCAATTCACGGAAGATGGTAAAATAACAACTCCGTGAGGTGATTTCCCTGAAGAAAGTAAGTGATTTGATCAAATCCCTTAACTGTTTTAGTAAAAAGGTGAAATAATATTGTTTAGATATTAAAAGTATTTATTTTTTAGATATTAATAGTATTTATTTAGTAAACCATGCATTATTAAATGTAGAATAGTTAATACAACAATAGTCATTGAAACACAAATTATTTATTCGAAACTAATTAACAAAAGAAATAGGTACTTAAGCAGATATTTTTAAACACAAAAAAAATATTTTTAGTGAAATTGTAAACATTTTTCGTAAATGTAATTAATAAATAATAATGTTTATTCATTTTTATTAAAACACGTTGTTGATTTGTGGCTTCTCGAGTTACAAAGTACGTTACTTTTTTTACAGGCACATCTTTTTTATTTACATTGTAATTTGGATTGTTCACAGGAACACTTCTTAAATCCTTGACCTCTAAATACGGATAATTTTCCTGCAATCTCACGCAGACTTAGGTTAATCTGTGGAACTGTTTCGGTAAATGTTGTAGTAGCTATTTGAAGAGCGTTTCTAGTCCTGACTTGTTTATTTCATCTTTTCACTAAAACAGTTAAGGGATTTGATCAAATCACTTACTTTCTTCAGGGAAATCACCTCACGGAGTTGTTATTTTATCATCTTCCGTGAATTGATCATATACCTTAGGGATTTGATCAAATCCCTATTTTTATTATCTCCCTGCGACATATACATATATATATACAGGGTGTCCCATAATTGCCGTCTCACCGCTCGTAGGCAAAAAGGAGTTATTCTAAGACGAAAAGTCCTATACCACTTTGGAAGATTCGCAATAATTAACGAGATATGAATTAATAAAGATCTGCTAATCAGCTTGCATCCAGCGTAAGGACAGCCCAGTCTGTCGCGCCGTAGCGACGGAATACAATAGCGCGGATAGCGCGCTGCCCGAACGCAACCCTATATGCTGTCTATGTATGCATGTTATTCTATTAGTTCCTCTCATTCCGTCGCTACGGCGCGACAGACTGGGCTGTCCTTACGCTGGATGCACGCTGATTAGCGGATCTTTATTAATTAATATTTCGTCAATTATTGCGAATCTTCCAAAGTGATATAGGATATTTCATCTTAAAATAACCTTAGAACAACCCCTTCTACTTGCCTACAAGCGGTGAGACGGCAATTACTATATAAGCCAATTACTATAATATACATATATATGTATATGTATATATATACATATATACACACACGGAAAAAAAGATGTATATAAAAAAAGATATATATACACACGGAAAAAAAAGATGTTGAGTCTACAGCATCAGTTTAATTGAAATATATGCTGTTGATTACTCGCATATGCAACTGAAAGAACTATATATTTTTGTTGGCAGCTCGTGACGTCGACTTTAATTGAAGCAACTCCATTTTTTCTGTGTATATATATACATACATACACAAACTTTCTTTTTTCTTTATAAATATTTATCTAAAACAATCTCTTTTCCTTAACGCTATTTATTTTTTCCGAAACGCTATTTTTTATACAAATCGTATTTTATTAGAACTGTTGGTTGAACATGAGACGATTGACATCACTGTGCCGACGCGAGCAGATATCAAACACCGCAGCAAACAGATTATTGAAACGCAACTAAAATCAGAGTAGCTTGTTACATTCCAAATCGATCGTAATAAAAAAAATGTAAAACCAAACAAAGTTTCATTTATTACACAAAGAGTTGATTATGATTTACCAATTTGTCTCTACCTAATATTCCTCAATATCATTGATGCGACCGTATCTCAATCTCTCCTTTATAGTTTCGAACTTTAACCAGGAAGGCATATCCCAAGGTAAGCGATGAGCCATAGGATACTTGAGTGATGGTTCTGGTCCATTAAAAGGATGAGTTTTTTTTAACTTTTTCAACAAGAACTCTTTGTTGATTTGCTTGGGATCGCGATATCTATCCAAATACTTATTAAATGCTTTTTTTAAGGGAAACCATGCTTGTTTCTTGACATACGGTTTTGGAAAATCATATCGAAATACTGGTACTTTCATATTTAATGTGCTATAGTAGAAATCTTTGAGCGAAGAGTCCCAGTCGGACTGAAAGAACGCCAAACCAGCCGGTGTCAATTGGTCTTGATGTTTTTTGTAAAAATCTAATGTTTTCCAGTTGCGCTCTTCTAAAGTCAAACAAGGCTTTGTTCTTTTATACCCCGAAAAATCGATAGGACATTCTTGTTTATATAACACAAATATGTATCTGCAATATCCAATACCATATGGTGCTATCGGCCTCAAATAATCTACCAGTTCTTCTCCTTCATTGAGACAATTGCCAGGAATGTTGCCAATGAACCAGTGACAATATTCATTGCAGCTGCTTGTGAGATTGCAATCTGGTGTAGTCATCAGCAGAGTCCATAAAGATTCATCCTTCACATTGTAAGTCACTTGGGGTGCCTTGGAAGCTTCATTTGGTTTGATGACATTGCCATTGTAAACATTTATTAGTTTGTCATTCTCTAAATTGTAACTAATATTTAATGGAATTGTTGGCATAAAATAGGCATCTCCATAAAGATCCTTGTAAATACTGTAATGCTCCGCTATTCTATGAATGTGAAAAGGTCCGTCTGCTAACAGCCAGTCCTTCCTCGCTTTCTGCAAATCAACCATCAGCGTCTTAGTACGAGAAAATCTTTCCAATTCAGAACTATGTTTATTTGCCGAGATCTTCTTTATCCAGCTGCTCGGTACATTTCGTCTTGTGATTTTTTCCACCGGGAAGCCGATGTCTATCTTGAAGTCTACCGTCGAATCTCCCTGACTGAGTTCTGCAAGACGTTCCTTCAAACTTTTGGCGATGCCCGGAGGTTTTCCCCGAACCCGGTGAGCGTGTCGGACATGTTGAACTTTCAGAATCAGAAGTTTGTTGGTAAGACAGCGAAAAAGTTTAGTAGACATATCGCTTGAGATGACTATGTCTAAATGTTTTTTACACTCAACACGTTTATTAATTTAGCGATTACAAGAAAGAAATTATTCGCGAAGCTAATTTAGGTTAGAATTATCAACGGCAGACGCATCACTGCAGTGATACAAATATCTGGATCTGGGTCTTTTATTCTAGTCAATTTCAGCAGTTGGTTATAGTAGGTCAGTTTCACCAACCGCTGTAACATAAATCGATCAATTGTCTCAACGGAATTGACCAATCGTATAGACCTATTATCCGAATTGACCAATCGATTGAAACGATAGACCAATTACTTACTCAGAGTTGATAAAACTGGCTCTTTCTCTCCGGTTTTCGGTTTATAGAGAAAAAACCAGGAAAAATGTGACCCAATCGCGAGCAATCGTTTATCACGCCATCTTTAGGAGTAACTATATATACATAATGTCCATTTTTTGATACATTGACGATTGGTATGTTTGTCTTTCCGCGTTATGTACTAGCGATTTGTATTCGTGATGTGTTACATTTCCGCAAATCAACGTGACATCAGTATCGCGCGGATTTTCGATTACATCGACCAGTTTTTCATGTCACACGTGTAGTTTTTCGTGTCACACATTGTGTTGATTTAAACTTGATCTATTTCGATAATGAAACGAGAGAAGATAAATAATTTCGGGAGAACAGCGTTGAGAAACACACCTTTTTGATAGAGAACTCGGAGGAAGATTAGAGGGTAGACTTTGTCTTTCGCAGGAAGACGAGGAAGTTTATGGATTTTTGTTGCTGCTAAATATAGCATTTGACATAGCGTTGGGTAAGTACAAATATATCATTATGTCACCGCCGCATTTATCTCTTAACGTATCTTAATCTTTTAGTGTGTCGCAATGTAAGTTTACAGCAAAAGAAAATGTGGATATTAAGTCATCTATAAAAATGGTACGTCTCGCTGTGTATATCTTTTTCTTTAACATTATTTTCTTTCACCAATTGATATAAAACTCTTCTGATTAGTTGCAATTAATTGTGTTCTAATTAATCAATCATGACGATTTTTCTCTTGTTAATTATAAGTCAGCAACACACTTAACAAATCAATATAAATTTTGTAAATATAAGGAATCAAACATATAAATACACAAGAATCATGACATGAGAAATATGAGGATATAGCAATATAGTTTTGTATATTTTATTTGCAGTATATAAAAGATAAATAAGACATGCAAGTATGTGTTGGCTTGATTATCTATGATGTATAAAATGAGATTCAATAAGCAAGAATTATTAACACTGGCTACACAGCCTTCACAGAAATTTGAGAAAGAAGGCATTCTATATGTCAGAGAACGGCAAGAAGGTTTCTTTCGCAGAACTGAAAGTAAGTTCTTGATATTACCACTATATATAAATACAAGATATTTATTTATATTATATATCACAAAATAGCATATGCATTGTTTTCTAATATATACATTAAATTGATGCATGATTGTCCCTTATATTGTATACATGAAGCTTGATAATAAATTTACATAATGGACAAATTCCTTGTTTGGTGTTTAATATAGAGCCTATTATATCATTCAGATTACTGAATGTGTTATGACTAAGAAAGGCTGCATTGATTCAAGCTTTTTGTTCTTATATACAAAATTATTCTTTAACAAAAAAATAAGATATTTTTACTTATTATCAAAAATCTTTCTAATTTACACAGATTAGAGTTTATTGTAATGTACAGACGTATATACATCATTTGTAATGGGATGTAGTACATGTGTAACATTTAATAGGTATTGACAGAATGCATTGCACGAAGTAGAATCAATCCCTTTTAATTAATTTCCATAAATCATACCGAGTCGTTAATATCTTGCAACAACGGCGAAGATAACTCATGCCAGTTTCTTTGTTTTTTTGTATCGCAGTATGGCTTTGCACGAAACAAAAATTTATTTTGTCACACATTAAATGTCATCAGAAAAAAAGATCTATAAAAGATCTAACTCTGCCATTTAGAAAAACATCAAATATTTTTACTTACTTACCTGATAATAATCGAATAAAATATCAAGGATATTTAATCGAATAATTTTTGATTGCCAAGTAAATTGCCGTATCATAATAGTGTAAACTTCGATACTGATTTAAAATCAATAAAATCGAAAGTCGCGATGCTTTTTTATTATTACATTAATCGATATAATTAACAATATTTGAAAATAAGATAGGATTATTACAAAAAATTATCAAAACACCATATATATAAAATATTCAATTAGAAAATCCAATAGCTCTTTTTCAGTTTTAATTATACAATCAGCCATAAATCGATTGCTACGATATTATCGCATACAAAATAAAAATTAGGTTACACTCGTTTTTTTTTTTTTTTTTTTTTGTTACTTTGTTGGAATATTATTATTGGCAGCTATCAGTACCTCGTGCAATTTCCAGGTACATGTAAAAAACTTGAGAACAAAAATCAGAGAGGAAGATCACATAAGAGTCTACGAAACCTCAATTGCGTTACAGCTGGCGCGAGCAAAGGTACTTTTTATTTGAATAAACAACACTATACTATTTTTGTGCTGTATACTATTAGGTCATTAAGTATGAAATTTGACATATACAGGGTGTTTTAGACCACCTGTACACTGTTTAAAAACAACGGAAGTGATTATTTTGAAAAATATTTTGGACAAAAATTGTTAGAAATTAAGTAATGCATTACATGGGTAGCGTCATAAAGGTCATGTCAAGATTGACTTGAATTTTTTAAATGGGAACTCATGTATTTTATTGCATATTCTTGTAGCTGACGTCAAGGCGTTTTTGAAACATTGGTTACATACTCTGTTTAGTTAAGATCTTTTTGTGAGTTATGAAACTTCAAAATGTCAGTACTACCGGCGTTAACATTATTCAAGATGTACCACGTGGAGGTCGGCATTACTTCTCTTCGGGGTGCTTGATTAATGTGAGTCCCCGAAGAGATGTAAATCCGACCGTGCGATCTCCACGTAGTACATCTTGAGTAATACTACGCTGGTGGTACTGAAATTTTGAAGTTTCATAACTCGGAAGATCTTAACTAAAAAGAGTTTGTAACCAATGTTTCAAAACCGCCTTGACGTCAGTTACAAGAATATGCAATGAAATATATATTTCCATTTAAAAACTTCAAGTCGATCTTGACCTTTATGACGTCACCCATGTAATGCATTACTTAATCCCCAACAACTTTTGTCCAAAATATTTTTCAAAATAACTACTTCCGTCGTTTTTAAATAGAGTGTACAGATGGTCTAAAACACTCTGTATACATACATTTTGTGTGTGCGTGTGTGCGTGTGCGTGTGTGCGTGTGCGTGTGTGCGTGTGTGCGTGTGCGTGTGCGTGTGCGTGTGTGCGTGTGCGCGCGTAGCTGGGCAAAATATATCATTAATGTATTGAGATACAAAATACGAAAAACTGTCAATCTTAGTATTTGAATTACAAAATACTTTCAAATCGTATTTTAATATTTTCAGGTCGTATTTTGATATTTTCGAAGTATTTTGTATTTTGTAATTCAAATACTAAAATTGACAATATTTTGTATTTTAAATACATTAATGATATATTTTGTCTAGCCCTATGTGTGTGTTTTTGTCAAGTTTCATGCTTAATGACTCAATGTATACAGTAGCTTCAAAAAGTATTGGCACACTCAGAGGCGGACCGTTAACTTTGGGGGCCTTGGGCTAACACTGTTTACCTGTGCTAGCACTTGGAATTATTTTTATGGCAAAAAAACGGTTGATCTTGCCGTTTATTTTTAATCACGAAGGGGCCCTTTGATTGAACGAGGCCCCAGGCTGCAGCCCATAAAGACCATACCTAAATCCGCCTCTGGGCACACTCACATTTAATAATAATGCACATAACGGTTTGGAGTTATATGTCTTATAATAGAGTTGAAAATTTAGAATTTATCGAAAAAATTATGAATGCTTGACTGCATATCGATGTGTCGCGAGATAATTTACTACAGAGTGCAAAATTTTGAAAATTTGTTTTATATTAAAAACTTCAAGAGAATTGTGTATTTTCTGTATAAAACGAAAGTATGCTATTTTTTTGAATATAAAATTTTTGTTTTAGTTTTTAACTTGCTTCAATTACAATAGTGAGAGGTTTTGAAAAATACACTGCTTCCGTATATCATAAGACATTACTGGACATATTTTGTATTAATATATCGCTCCACTATATAAAGATATATATAATTCACTATATAAAGATATTTTTAAAACTGTCAGTGTGCCAATACTTTTTGTATCCACTGTACATAGATATACACGTATTTTTATTGAATTCCGTCTCACGCATATCTTATGATTTCTACACAACACTCTTAACACTCTTTTTAACGACCCGATTAATTTTTACTAATACATGTTTCTCTGACACTCTCAAATAAAAAGCAGATACTTGCAAAGCGATTCGACACGCTTTAATAAGATCAATTCACATTTAACAAAACTTGAAAATTGAACAGAAAAGATAATCTGCGAATGAAAACAGTGAATATTAAAGTTTTTGTAGTTTTATTTTTTTTTTGTTGATTTTGATGCGTGTGTAGACACGCATCTTTTAAGAATATTCGTTTTTATTGGGGCTTGTTTGTTTTCTAATAGCAATATATTTTTGCATGCGACGTATTACACTAAGAGTTTACTTCTTAATTTACTGAGATTAGTTTATATTATAAGTATCTAAATGGCACCAAGAATTCTTAAAAAATTTGCATTGAGCTCAGTTACAAGAACAATGAGTTCCTTTAATTTTTCAGAAATAGTAAACGAACAATTCATTTTTGTTCCCCAAGGACAACAGGAAATGTCAATAAAAAAGAGTTCATATAAAAATTCACAAAAAGTTCAGCACTTAGTGTGTGTGTGTGTGTGTGTAAGATGTATTCAAAATAAATTTATTTTATGTCCAGAATATTACGGTGATATTATAAAAAAAAAAAAAAAAAAAAAAATGGCACATCGCCTTGTTGGAGAGGAAGTAATTCAAGATTTCACTCATATTAATCTGTGGAGGACTGATTCAGTTTACCGATCAACTGATTAACTCGATGAAAGGTACCGAACCAGAAAAGAATCCTAAAGTGATAGTAGGATTTGAACTCGAGACCTCCATATTCACAGCCGTTGCACTCAGTCCACGAAATTACTTGTTTCTTACTAAAGTATAATTATTTTTATCTACTTATTCTCAAGCTATTTTATACATTTCATTTATTATTTACTTAAATCATTTTATTAAAAATATTGCAGTGCAATATACTTAAATCATTTTATTAAAAATATTGCAGTGCAACAATAGATATATAAGAATATTTCTCTTATTATTATTAAATAATTTAAAGTACATTTGTACAACGCAAACAAATTTTTTGTTAACATATACTGATTATTATAATCAATCTTAGTAAATATACAGCAAATAATACATCAAGATACATATGTATATGTATTATTGTTATTATATAATAATAATTTTATAGTAAAAATGTACACACAAAGTGTTCTTTGTTTATATTACATTTATAATACATTTTGATTTAATACATTTTAAAAACAAAGCGTTTATATAAAACGTTTATGTCTAAGATCAATAGTCATGTGACTACACGAATTACCAGAGTTCCGAAGCAGTTCAGCTTTTTTAATCACTTTACACGAAGGAAAATGAGCTGATATGATTTTTTTGAAGAAGTTCATAAGTAACTGTCTTCATTGACTTCTTTGCGAACTTTTTCTGAACTAGCGTGCCATCTGGGTAGTCTGAGATAAGTCTATATTATAAAAGTAGTCGACGTATTTGTAGTTTATTTATTTTTATTATTAAAAAGAAATTAATAAAAACGCGAAATCGGCGTTATCCAGCAAGCAATGTTATACACAAAAAAATACTTCCGACAAATCGAGGGTTATTGCATGCAAAACAGAATGCCTCGCATGTACTACGCATGTAATTGTTCTCTAATAGAAATTTTCTCTAACAAGAGAAGCTTGCGAACCCGAAAATTCGGTAAATATGTATAAAACCGGAGCACCCTCGGAGGTCATTGTCCTTAACATATGTTGTCAAGAACACCTTCCTGAACAACAATCTGCAACTTTTAGCCGTCGCTCGTTGTTCGTTAAAAAATTATAAACAAAAGAAGTTGCGGCAATAAACTGTTATTTTCCGACACCGTGTACATTTTGTTTGTGTTGTAAGCGTGTAGGCAGGGGAGGGCTGCACCCCCCCGCAGGGGGAGGGGCTTCGCCTCTCCTCTCTGCTCCTCCCTCACTAAAAAATGAAGAATTTAATTAAGTGTCAAGTGGAGAATTCAATTAATGTTCTACCGATGTCCCGAAACGTGGAATATTACTTCGCATATCTCGCCAAATTCTTTCGATGTTTTGCGTGTGACAATTAGTATGAGGATCTACAAAATTTTCTTTGTGATTTACTGTATGTTGAGAGTAACCGTGCATATTGATGTTATATGCCTTCATTTTTTCGTGCAGGGGCAGCAGGGAGGAGGGGCTTTGCCCCTCCCCCTGCAGGGGGGCGCAGCCCTCCTGCCTACACGCTTACAACACGAACAAAACATACACGGTGTCGGAAAATAAGAGTTCATTTATGATATTTCTTTTGTTTATAATTTTTTAACGAACAACGAGCGACGGCTAAAAGTTGCAGATTGTTATTCAGGAAGGTGTCCTTGACAACATATGTTAACGTCATTGATCTCCGAAGGTGCTCCATTTTTATACATATTTACTCGAGATAAATTGAGAAAAATGAAAAGCCGCTTTACATATAAGGAGTGATTTCAACTCTTAAAACCGTTTTTGAGCAGCAACGGACAATGTCAATATTTATCTATCGACCTTCTTACATGTGTGCAAATTTTTATCAAAATTTGTAGGTTCGCGAAGTTCTCTTGCAAATGATGAACTGTAGAACAATTAAAATTGCGAGTGTTTGCGCCATGAGATACACGTTGTATATGCTTTCACGGTCAGAAAACTTGTAATTATTTCTTTTTCAGTTGTATGTATGTACATGCAATTTAATGATATAAGAAATAATACACAAATGTTTACGGCATGTGAGAATCTAATTCAAAATATAGTATGTGTTTGCAAATATGTTTCAAAATTGCATTGATTATATATTGATTTTAAATGCGAAGACTATGCCCTGACGTAATATTAAGAGTGCATTTGCTTTGGACGTTTACGCATTTTAAGCATCAGTCCGTCTTTGTTGTTCTTTAAATGTATAACAAAGATAGACTGACGCTTACAGCGCGTGAACGCCCAAAATTAACACACCTTAACTGATAAGGACACTGTCTTATAAGAGAACTTGTTCACTTTTGAAAGGACATGCTTTCAAGTTCAGACGCATTATTTTGCTAATTAAAATACTATATGTATATCAAGATTGTAGATGATCGGCCCACTATCTCACGGCCTGAGTGCAGGGGTGCGAACATAGAGGTCCCGAGTTCGAATCAGTTCTCAACAGGTTTTTGTCCGGGCCAGTCCTTTTTAATTAATTGAGTATTTTCAGCTCGAATGCTCACTTCCGGTGGTTCGGAAGCCATCTAAAATTTGTAGATAATCCATTTACACTTTGTAACTGTAGGTCCATTTACATTCCACTTTGGATGCTATTAGGCTAATTACCTGTACATCCGAGATCTAATGATTAATGGAACTTCTACGAATCGTTGGACTATTTTGTCCAACGATTTCGGAAATTCTATGTTCTATCAGGAAACGACAGGAATTAATGATGATGATGATATCAAGTTTGTATTAATAGATATTTAATACTCAATTCACACAATAAAAATAAATTTTGTCACGCACTTTTCTGCATTAATGTGTATTAAAGTAGTTGTTTCCGTACTCATATAAGAAAGTTGCGCTACTGGAATACTCGAAACGCTTCATAAACATTGGAGATGTTTCTTAGTGAATGACGAAACTTTTGATTTGTACACTTTTCGCTCGCTCATTACACATATACGTGTATGTACATTTTATTAATTCAAACTAATACTATATTGTGACGAAAGAAAGTGACAATGCGGCAACGTTTATCATCAAATAAACAGCTAGGATAAGGTTAGAGTCATTCATAAGCATTCGTAAGTGAGATTAAAATCGTATACTTACTATTACTTATATATGTATACACTATATGTGCGTACGATGTTGCCAAGTCTCCGCAGCATCCCATTACTTATAACTTCCATCCTTTGCAAATTCAGCTAAATTCCGAACTTTACTTACATTGCTTTTACTTTCGAACTTTTTTTACATTGCTCTAATTTACAAACTAGATGATAAACTATTCTTTTTTTTATTACATTTTTACGGATATTTTGCATCATATATTCGATTTTTAAACATATCCTAATAAAATTTTCGGAAATATAAACATGTCAATTCAACGGAGTCTTGCTATAGGAATTACGTGTTAAAAGTTGAAACTTTGAAAGCGAATATCTATCTAGTTTTGCGATGGAATGCCTTACAACTTAAACTAGATATAGATGAGACTTATAGTAATACATAGTTAAAATTTTAAGAAACATTCCTAAGAAACTCGCGTTTGGGAACAACTACTTTAAAGCTTTTTGATATCTAAACGTCAAATTTGATTTGACAGTAGCAACGTTGGTCGTTACAAAAATTAGTAGACGTAGAAAGCACGAAGTCTTTGCGTTGCTTATATTTTTTACTTAGAAGAAGATAGATATATATGTTCATACTTTAGTAAGAAAAAGAAATAAAGTGACAAGCCTATGTTTTGTGTGTGATTCAATTGTGTAGCCTAGATTTTATTGTTAAAATAAAAAAAAAACAGTTTCTATATTCTAGAAGTGTGCTTTATTGATTCTTTGTGCGTTTATACAGAAATACTCTTTTATTTTCACACACGAAGTGCACAAAATTTTTGCGTATTTTCTTCATTTTTGACTGTTTATTGCGACTGGTAAATGTTGACAATCGGATTATTGCTAATTTACGGATTGGAGATCAAATAGCTCATATCATTGTCTCTTTTTTCTCGTCTTCTTTTTTGCGGTTTGTCATTGTTTCTTGAAAACTTCGCCGTCAAAAACATCTGGCGTGCGAACGGCAGTACCTAAGCCGCTGCTCCTTTTGCTTCTGTTGTACAGTAAGTCTCGAACGATGGTGCAGACTGCGAGGAAATCTTTTGTTCTATTTCAAATCACGAGAGCAGTGGTCAGAGCCGCTTGGAGTTATCATACTGGAGCAGTGCACGGTCCGCGTGGATCCACCTAGCAACCACGTGCCCTACGGATTTAGCATAGGCAAGTATTATCAGTAGCCGCTATCTCTGATTCTTTCTCCTGTGCGGTCGTTGTAACGATACGTCGACGACACACGTTTGTCTTCATCGTTACATCGTTGTCGTTATCTGCATGCATGCATGTCCGCCGTGATTCTCTCCCTCTCTCTCTCTCTCTCTCTCTCTCTCTCTCTCTCTCTCTCTCTCTCTCTCTCTCGCGCGCGCGCACGAACGCAC